CAGCCATCATTGCTTTGTTGTTTGGCGGGTCCGGGCTGGGGATTCGAACCCGCCACCTTAGGTGTACATGGCTGGCGCCCTAGCCCGTTGAGCTATAGGCGTTGAGCCCGCATGTCTTTTGATAAACAAAAGTATGTGTTTCTTTTGCATGTGTATGTAGGAGTATCTGACAACATCCCAGGAATAGGAAATGGCCTCATTCTCCGAGTAATTAGGAGGTAATTCTGCTCCTCAGTATTCTACTACTTTCTATCGTCTGGCCAACTCGTAAGCCAGGATGATGAAGATGCCCTGTTTACCACTTGGAAGAAGAACTGATCACCACATTTTTGGATGTCTTTCTTGTTTATGATGATCCCTTTAATTGCCCTTCCTTATGTAAGAGGTGTTTGTTCCATGAGACCTCCTCTCTCTGCCAGAGTTGATTGAAGCTAGGTTAGGAACTTGTCATCAGCTGGGCCAATCATATTCTCTCTCCTGGAAATTTGGAATTGGGACCAGGAAAATACAACATATTAGAACAAGCATAAATAAATAAAGGGGCATAGAAAGATCATTACTGGTTTGGTGCCTGTAGCTCAGGTGACTAGGGAGCCAGCCACATACACTGGAGCTGGCAGGTTTGAATCCAGCCTGGAGCCTGCCAAACAACAATGACAACTATAACCAAAAAATGGCTGGGTGTTGTGGCAGTCGCCTGTAGTCACAGCTACTTGGGAGGCTGAGGCAAGAGGATCTCTTAAGCCCAAGAGTTTGAGGTTGCTGTGAGCTGTGACAACATGGCACTCTACCCAGGGCAACAGCTTGAGACTCTGTCTCAAAAAAAGAAAGATCATTACTAATGATAGTAGGATAACTAACAGGCAATTTAGGCAAAAGATATTTTAGTTTCTTACTTTACCCTATATGTCAAAATTTAAAACACTTTTAGAAGCAAGCCACAGAGTAAGAGAAAATATTCACAAAGGACCAATATCCAGGGCATTTAAAGAACAAGACAAGTGAAAGGCAATCAATAGAAAAATGGGTACAAGACTTGAACAGGTCTTTCATAATGCTGAAATGACAAATGTTCAACTTCGTTAATGATCAGGAAAATGTAAACTAAAACTACAATAAGGCACCATTACATAGAGCAGAGTGGATAAAATGAAAAAAGCTGACAATATCAACTGTTGCTAATAACGTGGGATAACCAGAACTCCTAACTCCCTGGTGGTGGCAGTCTAAATTGGAATAATTAGATACTGTGAAACTATTTACCATTTTGGAATATCTGTCAAAGCTGAGCATGCATAATAACTTATCATGCAGCAATTCCACTGCTAGGTATACATGCAAGAAAGTACTTTTTTTTTTTTTTTTACCAGAAGTCATGCAATGTCCTTTAAGACACTATTCATAGCTCGGCGCCTGTGGCTCAAGTGGCTAAGGCGCCAGCCACATACACCTGAGCTGGCAGGTTCAATACAGCCTGGGCCCACCAAACAATGACGGCTGCAACCAAAAAATAGCCGGGTGTTGTGGCGGGCACCGGTGGTCCCAGCTACTTGGGCGGTAGAGGCAGGAGACTTGCTTGAGCCCAGGGGTTGGAGGTTGCTGTGAGCTGTGATATCACTTCACTCTACCAAGGGGGACAGCTTGAGGCTCTGTCTTTAAAAAAAAAGAGTGTGAGGCTCGGCGCCTGTGGCTCAAGCGGCTAAGGCACCAGCCACATACACCTAAGGTGGCGGGTTCGAATCCCCAGCCCAGGCCC